TGACACAGCAGCAAAATGCACTCATCTGCAGTGAACTTTAGAAAATGGCGCCATTATTAGCTAGCTAGCTAGCTAGCCGGCTAGGTCAACAGTAACATTAGCTAACGGTTGTGTTCATGAGCAAACTTAGTGAGGACCTCAAGTGACCTCAACATAGACAGATACTTATGAAGCACACATTAAATTAAAACACTGACCATTACAATTTAAACACTGCGGTCAGCTTTATTAAGTTTGGTGATTTAACTGAGTAACGTTATGTGTACTTTGAATATGCGTAGGTTTAAACTAAACTGGCTGGCTAGCTAAGTTAGCTAGCTAGAGGATTTTAAGCCATGCTAAGTCCTCCCTTAACCTTAAGTTTTTGCCAATATTTTTCTGTGTAATTGTCATGAGCATGTTATATGTCCATAATAACAAACAATAGACAATATACGATCTCCTACCTTGTAAATGTAAGATGACAATTTTCTCAGGTAATCCAAATCTTCCTAGTGACAAGGTGTAGAAAATGGGCTCCCGTCAGCTCGGGAAAAGTTGTGCATGTGCATGCGCAGTTTGTACCCCTTGACACAATATAATTATTTCTAATTCACTTCAAGCATGTTTCATATGTTTAGTTTACTGGTCTTCAACATTGCTTATTATTATTTAGTTAAAGCAAAAACACATTTAAATTGAGAAAATCATGCACAATTTTATTATGTAAATTTACTAAGGGCCAAGTTCATTTTTTTCAGCGCACCTGATCCAACTCATCAGTTCATTAACAGCCCTTCATGACTTGAGGTGTGCGGGCTGGGAGCAGAGAAAAGGCAGTTAAGACTGACTCAGGTATTGAAATTCAGAAATTAATGGCATGAACTATTTCCAGTAGTTCCAGTAATCTTGTTACTCTCTCCAGCTTCAAGTTCCTGGGAGTACACATCTCAGAAGGTCTTTCATGGACATTCAACACCTCACACTTGTTTAAGAAGGCACAGCAGTGCCTCTACTTTCTGAGAAGATTAAAGGAGGAACATCTGTCTCCTCAGATTCTCACAAACTTCTACGGCTGCACCACTGAAAGGGTACTCACCAACTGTATGACAGTGTGGTACAGCAACTCCACTGTGGCCGACAGGAAGGCCCTCCAAAAAGTGGCGAGGACCGCTGAGTGCATCACTGGCACACGACTCCCTGCCATCAGAGACATCCACCACCAGAGCCGTTTGCGCAGAGTGGGCAGCATCATTATTATTGATAACATTAATCACAGGCAGCTCTTTGTACTTCTATCAAGAGCTAACATCTTTCACCTTTACTGTTACTGCCAGGTCAGCACATTAAATAAGCTCAGTAATACAGTAGTGACCACTATAAACTAAGTAACGTTTGCATATATATATATATATATATATATATATATATATATATATATATATATATATATATATATACACACACATATATATATAATGTATATATACACACACTGACTCTGAATATACATATATACACAATATACACTAGTAATGCACTATTCCGATTTACAGTTGTACAGTAATAAGTTAGAGACCGATACACCAGCACTACTGGCTGTTCAGCAGCCTGATGGCCCAGGGGAAAAACTGTCTCAGAACCAGCTGGTTCTGGACTTTATGCTTCTGTACCTCCACTCGCTCAGCAGTTGTGAGAACAGACAGTGGCTTGGGTGGTTGGAGTCCTTTAGAATCCTCCTGGTCTATCTCAGGCAGTGGCTGGTGTATAAATCCAAAAGGTTTGGGAGCTGGACCCCGGTGATGTGCTGGGCTGTCCGTACCACCCTCTGCAGAGCTTACCGCTCAATGGCAGTGCAGTTTCCCGACCAGGTGGTGAAGGAGCCTGTTAGAACGCTCTCCACAGTGCATGTGTAGAATGTTCTGAGGATGCAGGGGTTCATGCCAAACTTCCTCAGCCACCTGAGGTGGAAGAGGTGCTGTTGTGCCTTTTTTACCACCCGTGTTCACTGAGATGTGAACACCGAGGAACTTGAAGCCGCTGATCCTCTCTACAGTGGCTCCGTTGATGGTGATGGGTGTGTGCATTCTTTCTTGCTTCCTGAAGTCCACTATGAGCTCCTTGGTCTTGTTGACATTGAGAGAGAGGTTGTTCTCCTGGCACCAGAGTGTCAGAAAGCTGACCTCTTCTCTGTAGTCCTCCTCGTTGTCATTGGAGATCAGGCCAACAATTGTGGTGTCATCTGTAAATTTGATGAAAATTGGAGCTGTGTCTGGCTGAGCAATCGTGGGTGTACAGGGAGTACAAGATAGGGCTGAGCACACAACCCTGAGGAGCTCCGGTGTTAAGGGTCAGTGAGGAGGAGGTGATGTTACCCATCTTTACCACCTGGCGTCAGCCCGTCAGGAAGTTCAGGATCCAGCTGCAGAGAGAACTGTTCAAACCCAGATCCCAAAGCTTAATGTCAAGCTTTGAGGGCACAATGGTGTTGAATGCTGAGCTGTAGTCCACAAACAGCATTCTCACATACGTGTTCTTTTTGTCCAGATGGGAGAGGGCAGTGAGTCAGGGCTATTGCGTCATCAGTGGCTGCCTTGTGAATGTTAACGCACTTGAAGGCTCTGCACACGTCGGCCACAGAGACGGAGTCCGTTATTGTGTTTAGCCCATCCCACAGTTTTCTTGTGTTGGTGGTGTTGAACTGTGACTCCACTTTAGCCCTATACTTGCATTTGGTTGCTTTTATGGTCTTACGGAGAGCATAGCTGGCTTTTTTATACTCATCTGTGTTTCCTGATTTAAAAGCAGCAGTACACGCGTTCAGAGCAGCACGGACCTCAGTGTTGAGCCATGGCTTCTGATTGGGGTAAACACAAATTGTTTTTGTGGGCACAACATCCTCTATGCACTTTTTGATGAACCTGGTAACTGCGTCTGCATATTTTTAAATGTTATTGTTTAACGCCTCACGGAACATCTCCCAGTCTGTGTCATCAAAACAGTCCTGAAGTGCTGAATCCGATTGGTCCGACCAGCGGTGGACCTCCCTGATGATGGGCGGTGCCCTTTTCAGCTTCTGCCTATAGTTGGGCAGGAGCAGAATGGAGAGATGATCGGATTTGCCAAACAGAGGTCAGGGGAGGGCTTTGTATGCCTCACAGAAGGGGGAGTAGTAGTGGTCCAGTGTGCATGATCTTTGTGTGCTGCATGAGATGTGTTGGAAGTACATTGGAGTGACTTCTCGAGTTCACTTTGTTGAAGTCCCCAACAACAATGGAGGCGGCCTCCGGGCGCACGGTCTCCTGCCTCATACAGTTTCCTGAGCGCCAGGTCTGTATCACCCTGTGGTGGGATGTACACGGCGGTGACAGTAAGCCCTGATATCTCTCTAGGCAGCCACATTGGTCTGCACGAGATGATTAGTTATTCCAAGTTCGGGGAGCAGAAAGACTCAATGAAGTGTACATTCCTCTGATTACACCAAGCATTGTTGATCATAAAACATACAACTCCCCCTTTGCTCTTCCCGGAGAGATCCTTTGTTCTGTCTGTGCGGTGCACAATGAAGCCCGTGGGCTTAATGGCCTTGTTGGGAATCTCCGCTGATAGCCAGGTCTCTGTGAGGCAGATTATACAGCAGTCCCATGTTTCTCGCTGGAAAGAGATTCGTGCCCTGAGTTCGCTGATTTTGTTGTCCAGGGACTGCACGTTTGCCAGTAGTATGCTGGGGAGTGGGGGGTGATTAGCACGCCCCCTCAGCCTAACCAGAACACCGGCTCTCCTGCCTCTTTTCCGGCGTCTGATGCATTTCCGGTCAGCCCAGATGAATGGGGCCTCTTAGAGGTTCCCAAACAATGGATCTGTGTTCAGGAACTCAAAGTCCAGTTTTCGGTGAGTGATTGATGATCTGATTTCCAAAAGTGTTTTTCTGTCATAAACAAAGGTGCTGGCAACATTTACTTCAAGAGTAGTTACAAATAAAAACAAAATTAACAAAAAACGAACAAAAGTTAAGAGAACTTTAATTCTACCAAATATAAAACAATAATATACCTTTGAGCTGATATTACAATTTACTGCCTATTTTAAAGAGTGTTATGAATTACTGAATGGTTTGACAATTATTTGAATTATTTAAACCTCATCATTTTAGTCAAAATATCTGTTTTTATGCTGTATACCAGTTAATAATATGTAAGTTTAAATTAACTTACCATACATTTCCTGTTTTAAAACAACAAATTACTGTTAAGTTACAATATGCAATGGAGTTGTTATATTATAATTACCCTGTATTGAAAGTAATTTTATACGACAATTCTGTAAATTAATTTTCATTAAGTTTTATAATGTGTTTATTGCTTATAATTACAGCAAACAGGCATAAAAAATGTTCTGTATTTTTAAATAGAACAGGAAAAATTTAAAACAACTTTATTGGTCTATATTTTAACACTGATAATCGTGTTTTTAACTATGTTTAACTATGTTAACACTCAAAACTCTTAAAAATGGTACAGGCTTGTTGAACAAAAAACAACAGTTGATTCTTATAATTTAAAATAAAAGACTTTAACTGATTTTTACAGCAGATTTATTGGAAAAGGTGATTTTCCTGTATTTTACAGGTACATTCTCTTAGCAAGAAAAATATAGGAAAAAACTGTATTTATTAACTGTCAATGTCTGTAAAAAATCTTTTTTTATACAGTGTAGATCAGCTCTGAGATTTCAGAGAGATATACATTTTTCGAATTGATATATTTAGTCATCTGTTGTATTCAGTTATTTCTCCTCTATCTAGCAGTTGAAGCCAACATGAGAAAAAGCATCAGTCTTACAGAAGCACACTTTAAAGAAATCTTTACTCTTCCAGGTGAAGATAAAGTCACCAAGCACTATTAATTCACCACGAAGAGCACCACAATGTAAATTAGAATACTGAGGTGACATAATCTAAGTGGAGTATGTAGCTTTTAGTCATCAATGCATCAATGAAAAGATATGGTAGAGATGAAAAGATATCTGTAGTATTTGGTACACTACTAGTACTATAGACTGAACTAAATTCTAATTACATGTATTATCACTTACATACAGTCTGCTGTGACACACATAGTAGTGTGTGTTTCTGGTGTTTCAGTTTTTCCTCCAGATTTCAGGAGGTTATTCTATCACACAAACACACAGAGCCAGAGTAAACTCTAATCCCAGCGTAGAGTGGCTCAGTGAATGTGGTGGTGAATGTGTGTAGGTGTATCAGTGTGTGTGTATCAAGGGAGATGCTGTAGAAGGACACAGTGCCAGACCCCCAGTCCAGATACACTCCTACTTTGTTAGAGGGGGAGGGGGGCCCAGGTAGATCAGTTTTATGTTTATTGTGCCAGACAGTGTAAGTGTTAGTAGTGCAGTACAGACTCCAGGACTGATTATTGTATCCAAACTCACAGTGACTGCCTCCTTTCCTCCTGATTCCACTGTATGACACTGAAATAGCAGCTCCATCATCTCCGCTCCACTGAACCTCCCAGTAACAGCGTCCAGTCAGACTCTCCACACTCAGAACCTGCTTCCAGTATTCAAATCTGTCTGGATGATCTGGATAATGCTGATACCATGTATTCTTCACCTTTCTGTTCCTCTCAGACAGAGAGAGACGCCTGTTCACTGTGTTTGGATCCAGAGTGAGATCAACAGCATCTGTACACACACACAGATTAGAGGATACACAAACAGTGTGTTTGTGTGTCTGTGTGTGTCTGTGTGTGTGTGTGTCTTACATTTCTTCAATCCTGGCTTCACCCTGATCTTCCCCCCATGATCCACCCTGAAGAAAACACACAGACGTAACTCAGTAGTAATGTGCAATAGTAGAAAGTCAGTAATAAACAGTAGTAAACAGTAGTAGTAAGTCAGTAAAAAGCACTTATAGTAAGTCAGTAATAAGCAGTAAGTCAGTAATAAGCACTATTAGTAAGTCAGTAATAAGCAGTAAGTCAGTAATGTCCATCACAAGTAAAATAATTAAATTCTTTACTGAACTACATGTATTTAGGGTCAGTGATTTACTGTCTACATTGTTAGTCTCAAGAAGAGAAAAAAGAGAAAAAACAAAAAGGACATAATAATATGAAAACAGTCAAACTAGGGATGCACTAATATAGAATGTTATGACATGAAAACTGATATTTTGTCTGTTACTGATAGAAATACCACAAAATATTACTTTTTACAGTACTGTGCATAAGTCTGAAACCCCCTTTAATCTTGTCACACCTCTTCCCAGCTCCACTAAACTTTTGCTCCTCACTCCATTGAGAACTCCAACTCTTAGAATTCTCTGGGAGGTCACATGACTCCGGACTCTGTATAACCCACCTATCCATGTTTAGCCTCTCCTGATTACTGATTGCTTTCACCTGTGTTCCATTAGAGTTAGTATAAAGTCTGGACTTTTAGACTGTGTTTTTGCAAAATTTTGTTTCAGCCTGCTTGCAATACTGAGCCATTTTCCTGGTTTGTGACTTTGATTCTCTCATTTACGACTGACCCCTCGAACTCTGTTTTGACCATTTGGAGTGCGTTTTGTGTTCTGACTTTTTTTTCTGCCCTTTTTGTCTTTGTCTGTGGCTTGCCTGTACATACCCATTAGCCTGTGTATGATCTTCGCCTGTTTCTGGATTCTGTCACAGGTTTGTCCCTTTATTAAACATTTTAATCAACAGCCTACTCTGCTCACGTCTGATCCACCCAGACACCTCACAGAATACATTGCCTCCATGCTGATGGCACAGTTTGAAGCTGTTCAAAAGGAGCTTGTTAATCAAGGTCAGCTCCTCGGACAACACCAGCAGTTGTTTTTCACCAATGAGTGGATGATTTGGTTCACAGGCAGACTGAGCAGCACTTCCAGCTCTCACAAATTTTAACTGGCGTGAGGGATTTGTCCACCCAGCTACAGCCACTCAGCCTGCACTAGCCCATGCTACAACCTGCTGATGCTGCTCCAATGTCATTAGCCCCATTGTTTACTTTCCGGTCAGTAAGCCCAACAAATTTGATGGCTCACCCAACAAGTGCAGTGGATTCTTGCTCTAATTGTCTATTGGGTCCTCCAGTGCCTCCTCCAAAATCAGCTTTATGTCAAAGATGAGAAAATTTCATCTGATGCAGGTGTAGCAGACATCAACATGGCAGGGAAGGTAGATCAGGACTTTTTTTTTAGTTTCCTTCTTGGGTTACATAGTCAGTGAAAATACTGTAGTGATGGATGACAACAAAATGGAAGTGGTAGCTATTTGGTCAACTCCCACATCTATCAAGGACCTACAAAAGTTCCTTGGCTTTGCCAAGTTTATCACCATTTTATACATAAATTTTGTTCCCCTGCAGCCCCTGACAGCTTTACTCAAGGGTGCAGCCAAGAAATTAGTCCGCTCAGACTGAAGAGGTCTTCAATGCACTTAAATCTGCATTTACATCAGTCCCTATGCTCAAGCATCCGGATCTGTCTTGCCTTTCATAGATGAAGTGGATGCTTCTGAGACTGGTGTTGGGGCTGTTTTATCCTAATGCATTGGAAAACCCCCTAAGTTGTTTCTGTTAGCCTTCTACTTGCACAAGCTCACTGCTGCCAAACGCAACTACGGTAATGATGACAGAGTTGCTAGCAGTTAAACTGGCATTTGAAGAGTGGAGGCATTTGTTATATGGCGCTAATCATTCTTTTCTGGTACTAACAGATGACACAGCTAAACAGATCATACAGCTAAACATTTAAATCTGAGACAAGCCCGTTGGTCCCAGTTTTTCTCTCACTTTAACTTTAACATTTCCTACTGCCCTGGGTCTCGCAACACAAAAGCTGACACCTTGTTTAGAATCTATCAGAATGAAACTGATGAGCTTAGAGTTCCAAGCCAGCACTTAAATAGTTGTTACTGGTGGAAGACAATACTTCAAGATATGCATACGTTTAAAGTTTCCTGTTCCATCTGCACTCAATGTAAAACTTCCAAAATATTGCCAAAACTCATCTCATCAATCCCACATTGCTAATCATTACTGATTTTCTGATGGTTCTAATATTAACTATAGTTGATTGTTTTTCTTGGGGAGTCAAATTTGTTCTGTTAACTGCACTTCCTACAGCATTTCAGATGGCTGAGGTCCTCTATACCCATGTTTTCTGACATTATGGTATTTCTCCAGACATAGTATCTGATAGAGGTGTGCAATTTACTTCTAAAGTATTGTCAGGTTTCTTTGAACATCTTGGTGTCAATATTAGTTTCACTTCTAGTTATCACCCCCAGTCGAATGGGCAGTGCAACAGAGTAAACCAGGAATTGTGAAAGTACCGAAATACCAATGCCAATCACTGTAACGCACAGTAACTATAGAAAACTTTCTTCCTAAACCTTTCTGGAGTTTGCCATGGAAAAGTTCCAGCATTTTGATAAGTGGTGTGCTTCCAATAAAATTGATAAATATAACAAGCTGTGTGAGTTGATCCTTTTAGAAGAATTGAAACTTTTAAGTTAACCTGGTTACTTAATATTTAAGTTGCATTATCTTTTATGATGCAGCATTTTTAAAAACAGTTGACTGATGGTACAAGGGAGAGAGCTGTCTATGAAAATGGATATAAGCCTTTGCTTGGGTTTGTTTCTTTGAGAGAAGTTGAGATTAAGAAGCAACAAATGCAGATAGATCACCTACATTATGTGAAGGTATTGTTAATATGTTGCTTCCATTAGGCAAAACCTAACCCCAACTCTGGTCCTAATCCTAACCCTAAATTTAACCTCAACCCAAAACCTAATCCTAACCCTTATATGTTTTTGATGTTATTGAAAGTCCTTTGAGTGTTGGTTTCATCTAATAGGACCATGCAAAATTATGTGTCACTAAACGTTCCTTTAATGGTTTATATGCCTTGTGCCATGGCATTAACTTGTACGTGAAGGCTCCTTTACATGAAATCTGTTTACTGTTTGATTTGGCTACTGTTTTTAAAAACTGAAATTATGTTCAGCATTGCCTGTTAAAGAGCTACATCTTATTTTAGATAATGATATAGCAGGTGGCAAAGTTCTTCCTGTGTACTGAAAATGTCCTGTGCATGCTGATACTTGGCTCAAACATGTACATATACTTCTGATGTACTTAACCTTTCAAATACATGCTTAATTAAGTATAGCCAGTGTCCACTGTTGCTGAAAGTGATGTCATGGTGTGTCGGGAACATTTGATAAAAGCTTAGCAAACTGATCCCAGCTTAGCAAACTATCTGTTTTTAGCATCCTCTACAATGGCCATGTAGATAAAAATTGTTTTTTTGATTTGAACAGGGTGTTCTGATGAGAAAGAACCCCTGTGAGAATATGTGTCCAATAGTTGTGATTTCTTATTATAGAGTTCAAGCAGGGCAGTACTTGAAATTTCAGAGTATGAATTGAGTTGTAGTGTTGCTATAAAAGTTGCAAGTGATGTAGCAATATGAACATTGTGGAGATAAAAACTACACAAAATACTTCTAAAAAGTACCAAAATGACACACTAACATTTCATTACAAGCATGGCCTTAATTCTCATTCATGCTTTCAGATAAGAATATACTTCATTAGTCATAGCTTTCCATTTTGGTAGTTTCATGCTGCCCTCAAAGTCCAGTATGGCACTGATCTTTCCAAAACCAATGAGACAAATTTTTTGACATTTGACATATGACCACTTTCTTTTTTGTAAGTGCATGGCTGGTACAGCACAAAGCCTATTTCAAAGCCTAAACATGTTTGAAATTTGAATGCCCCCCACCCCCCCACACACACACCAGAGTGTATCCAGTGTGAATTGTGGATCATCCTTTAGATCAGACAGCAGCTTCACTCCAGACTCTCCTGGGTGATTATAGGTCAAATCCAGTTCTCTCAGATGTAAGGGGTTAATTTTCAGAGCTGATGCCAGAGTAGAACAGCCATCATTTGTAACCATACAACCAGACAATCTGCAGAAAGGAAAGAGAGTCAGATGGTATTTACATAGAGCAAAACCCAACCTTACCTGACCTTACCCAAATCTCAGCTGCAGTTTGGTACAAACACAGCAAACACAATTTTCTTTGAAAAAAGAAAGCAGTGATTTGTAAATTAGCTTTGACCTATATTTGAACAAACACAGTATGCACACAACAGCATAATGTTTTTACTTTTCAATGTTCAATTTTTTGTTGAAAATATATGCTTATTCTGAAATTGATGCCTGCAAAACATTCCAAAAAGTTGGGACAGGAACAATTTAATATTAGGAACATTGTAGAATGTGAAAAACATCTTAAACTCACACTTTGCCAAAAATACATCAGCAAAAGATCAAGCAGTTAGAATAACAAAAATAACATTATAACAAGAATAAAATTCGGTATCCATTATACCTGATACCTAATATGAATATGCGGGTATTTCTATGAATGTCACGTTTGTAAGCATCTATAAACGGTCGTAACATAACACATTCATAAGGCAATATAAACATGTTTATAAATATTTATAAAAAATAATTACACTTTATAGCCATGTTTGTTATACATTATGAATTGTTAATATAATGCATTATAAGTAGTGTTAATAACATGTTATACTGTCAGTGCCAGTCAGTCAGTCCCAGCTTGGAGAGCGTTATCCAGCCTAGAATTTTTGCTACAAAGTGCTTTTCTTCTGCATATCTACTGGATATGCAGTGTCAAGTTAGTGCCAAGCTAACAGTGGAGTACATTAACTTTCTCACATTGGGTAAAACACTGATGCAGCACTGGTTTAAAATTTGTTTCAATTAATTCTTCAGTAAATACTTCAACTTAAAGCTTCACTCTTAACAGTGGAGGAGGCTTTAGTACAGTATGCGTGCGTGTGTTCCACTGTAAGTATGCTGGCGCAATATGGCTGCCGCTTTACATTGGTATTCTATTAGTTTTGTATTGTTTGTGTGTTTGTTTTGATGTTTGCCTGAGATACTGGCTGAGAGCGATTTTCAAACTGTAGCTCGAGGGCTTATTGGACTGGCTGTTTGTGTGATGCTGCATTGTGGCTATTATGTGGCCTAGACCGGCTGCTTGGGTGATGCTGCATTGCGGCTGCAGGGCTCTCTGGACTGGGGACCTAAACGACATGCCATCACTTGACCTGGGCTGCTTGGTTGCACTACAGCTGTGAGGCTGCCTGGACTGGTGGTGTTCAGCTGCATGAGCAGCGCTACACTGCAGCTATGAGGCCTCTTGGGCCGGCCGCTTGGGTAACGATGCATTGCAGCCATGAGTCTGCCTGAACTGGTGGTGTTTGGCTGCAGGAGAATGCTACCCGTGAAAGCGTCAGACTTTCCCTCAGTGCTAAGGACTCTTTCTGGGCTAGCTAGCTGAGTGACTCTGTGCTGTGGTCACTGAAATTTCTTTCGCAAACGGTGGGAACTGTGGAGTTGGTGTGTGTTCTGTGTTATGTATTGTTGATTATGTATTCATTGTAAAGTGTCCTTGAGCATGGGAAAGGCGCTATATAAATAAAAGTGATGATGATGATGACGAGAATATCTGTGCATAAAAAGTAAGGCCACAACTGAATGCTCATGACCTATGACCCTTCAGATGGCACTGCATTATAAACTATAAGCTGGGAACTATAGACTTCCTTCCACACCTTCTCATTCTCTAGACAATTGAGCTGAACTTTTAAATCCATACTCAAATCAACTCAGAAATGCTGATCCCAGTTGATTTTAATCTGAACTGGTTAAATAACGCATATGTTCACTTGAAGAACTGTGCGGAAATCTGTCTTTGTCACAAATAATTACAGAACCAACATGATCAAACTTACAAGATCCCACTAAGTCAACTATAATAGATTTAAGTTAATCCAAATGATGTCACAAAATTATCTTTATAGGTGTAATTGATCCTGGTTTAAGTGAGCATTGCCCCATTGGATGCATTAAAAACACAAACATAATACAGTCAGGCTTTTGGACAGTGGTTAGGAGAAATCTTTAACATTTTAATGACCACTGGTGTCACATGAACATTTTAAACTTCTAGGCTCTAAACACCTCCATTCATTTTCATCAACTTTTACTTATTTGCTGCAAATTATTGTTTTAATTTACAAAATTCTCACCTGAGTATGTCTAGTTTACAGTGTGGATTTTTCAGTCCAGTAGAGAGCAGCTTCACCCCTGAATCCTGCAGATCATTGTTACTGAGGTCTAGCTCTTTTAGAGAAAAGTTTGCTGATTGTAGAGCTGATCCCAGACTTTCACAAGCTTTGTCCCCAAGATTACAGATAGTTATTCTGCAAAAGGAGATATGTTGCAACATATTTTACAGTATACTCAAATGTTTCTGAATGGAATAAGAGAAAAATTACATCAAGGTTTACAACACAATGGTGTGCTTTTATGTTACTGTGGTTAACCAACAGATATGAAATAATTCTAAAACCACATGAATGAGAACATAAATAATAGCATTAATATTTAGAGACAACAGTTAACTGTGCCATCTTGGCCTAGGTCATAGAAAGTTCACCTGAGAGTCTGTAGTTTACAGTGTGAACTCTTTAGTCCAGCAGAGAGGAGCTCCACTCCTGAATCCCATGCGTTATTATTACTGAGGTCCAGCTCTTTCAGGGAAGAGTTTACAGATTGTAGGGCTGAGCAAAGAGTTTTATAAGAGTCCTTGGTGAGATTATAGCCAGTTAGACTGAAAAGGAATTGTAAACATAGCACATAGAACAGTTAAAATGGGAGGAAGGGAGATCAGGTGTTACAAGAGTTAAGAATTTTTCTTTAACGTTTGATGTTTGGGTTATGAATCTGGCCCAGTGACATTATGCCAGATTTACAAAACTCAGCAGGACCTGCACTAAGCAACACAACATTTAGAGTACAATAATGAATTTAATTTTAAATTCACCATGCCTGTGATTAGTGCACCTGTCACTCTACACCACTGTAGTATTTTTACACATATTCTAGAAAAAATCCAATCAAAACCAACATGTTACTATATTATTAATATAGTAATTTATACTAATGATCCATGTTCAGTATGTGTTTGGATGCCAAAATGAACATCTAACAACATAGAAAAAACAAAAATAAAACTGTAGATTCTATAAATGGAAAAATGTTCTGATAAAAAGCAACAATAAAAATGATAAACAATCTCAGACTATATCAATGCAGTATCAAATAGTAAAGTAAAAAGTACTTCTGTCCATAGCCACAGTCAAAAGAGGAAAACATCAGAGAAAAAGATAATTTAGTCCACATTGATATGACACCAAGTAATGGGTATTGTTAATGTTTTCTTTTTTTGTTTTTAATATCATTATGAGAAACTGAGATTCATTATTGATTTCTGAATCATAGCATTTTCAATATTTACTTTTTAATTACAGACCAAAATGGTGGTTGGTATAGTGTAGTGGGTAACACCTCTGCCTTCTACACTGTAGATTGGGGTTCAATCCCTGCCTGGATAAGGTCTAAGGGAATTAGAAAATGTTACAACAATGGTATGTCAAATCTTTGAGCATTCTACGAATCTTGACTATTATTTGGTAAGTCACATCTGTAGACTTAAACTCTTTTCTTCTTAACTCTGGTTATGAAAAGTAAAGTAAAAACAGGTCTAATAATTATGACATTTATTATGATTGAAAGTATTAAGAAACCCAAGAAAGCTCTGATACACTACCAGAAACATGTTCAGGTTTGTGTATCTGTGGTAATAACTAACTGCACCACTTAGATGATCCACAGTGCACTTAACAGTAACATGGGCTCATATTCACAAAAGGTTTCAGAGTAAAAATGCTGATTCAACAACAGATGTAAGAGAGCTGGTCTAAAATCAGATTCCTCTCTAATTTACTATGAGTTTACTTACAGGAACGGATCCTAGATCAGCATTTCTACTCTAAGTTTTGTGAATACAGGTCTTGATCAGATTTTCAAGATGGTGAATTGTAATAATTCTGCACCAGCATAACAAAAACAAATTTAATAAGATCAGCATATTTTTGTTTTTACTTAGCCTTTAGAAAATATTTTACATATTTTAATAATACAGGGCTAAACCAGGTTTTCCTACAAACTGTGAAGAAGAATTAATCTAAGCTAAATTCATGCAAAAAAACATTTTGACAAGTAAAGTTTTTGATTCATAATACCTCATTTCAAAGCATACAAACAATCCTTTTAAAAACCTGCACTGTTTACATTTGTTTACACAAAATTCTCAAAAATGCACTTTGTCCCAGGTAACAATGATTCTTAGTATTTGGATAGTTCAGTCACCGATAATCCAGTCAACAGAAGCACAGACAATGAAAGCCAATTGAAATTCTCAGCGAGAGGTGAGATTCTGTGAAGATTTTAGCATGCAGTTTACATCAGACAGTCTGGGCACTTCTATGGGCAGAGTTTCTAAGACTGAAACTCATTGAAATACCGAAAAAAAACCCACTGCACTGCAAACTCACACATCAAACTGCAGCTTCTGTTTCCCTAGACTTATGTCTATAGGTTCACTCTGTGTATCGGTTACACTTCTGTTTCTGGTTTCCAGCTTGAGTGTATGCTGTGCGCGTTTGGCTGCCACTACTCGCCAGTGTTTTTGTTGTTCTTGCGGTTTGCTTTTTCTTTCCCTTTGTGGGACTATTGGTACAGATACTGTTCAGTATCGATGGACTTGTCAGTCTATTTTCTACTCGCCAGTTGAATCTTGCTTTGTGATAATGCCTTTGACACACCTGCATCTCACCTGCACAAGCCCTCTTCCTCTTCTCCTGCACCGTGACTGCATCTGTGGTGAGTGTGTCTCTACTCCCTTGCTTTGTTGCTGTTGCCAGTTTGTTCTGTGGTAAGTTGCAGTATTTTTGCTTGTGCCTCTCACAGTCTTAGCCGGGTGGTGTAGTGGGTTTTGGTTGGCTAAGGTGCGTGGTCTGAGCTCTGGCATTTTCACTATCTCTTCTGTCATGTCCACGGCCGGTGTCAAGAGTTTTTGTTTTTGGCCTAGAGTCGTGCTGTGCATTTTTGTTTTTTATGCCCAATGTTTAAATACTCCTGGACTGAACTTAAAAGCCTCGACTGTCATGCCCACTTGGATTCTGCATCATATAATCTATGCCAGATATTTGGAATTGGAATAAATCATGTCCATTTTTGTGCAACATCAAAAAAGAGTTGAAATTTCCCTTCTCAACCGTCGCTGCTTTAACCTCACTCATCTTAACGCATGATCCATAATCAATAAAGCCTCATTAATCAATGACCTCATCACCCAGAAAAAAGTGGATATGCTTTTTCTCTCTGAAACTTGGCAACAACCTGGTGACTACTTACATTTAAACATGCTGACACCCCCAGGCTACAATTATCTATCAAAACCCCAACTGAAAGGGAGAGGAGGTGGTCTGGCTGTAGTTTATCATTCTGGTTTAACGGTCAAAGAACTTTCACTATTCAGTACTACATCCTTTGAATATATTGCTTTGAAGGTTGATTCCTCCTCGCCTCTACTCTTGCTGTTAGTTTATCCTCCTCCCAAACCTGCTGCAAACTTCTTGTCTGAACTCAATGAACTCCTCACAATCATCTCGTCTCTTTGCTCTGCCATAATTGTGCTTGGTGACTTCAATATCTATGTTGATACTAAATGCTCTTTTACATCTCAGTTCATTTCAGTTTTAGAGTGTTTTAACTTGATACAGCATGTTGATTTTCCAACTCACATTTATGGTGATACTCTTTACTCTGTTCTGCTGGTTTGAATGATATCTCTGTCTCTGGTTCAGTCTCTGGTATCTCTGACCATAAGCTCATTGAATGTAGTTTTCATATTTCTACTCCTCCACCCTCCGAGAAAATCTCTGTTATCTATTGTGATATTAGGTCTGTCTGTCTCAATCTGTTTGCTGCTTCTCTTCAGTCTTCATCGTCCACTGACAGTATAGTTTCTCTTTATGATGACACTATCTCTGGATTGCTTAATGATTTAGCCCCCTTTAAGAATAGACTTCTCCCTGCCACCCGCCCGTGTCCTTGGTTCATCCCTGAACTAAGAGTACTGAAGGCCATTGGTCGGCATCTTGAGCAACTTTATAAAAAAAAAAAACTGGTGTTACTGTCCTCTCTCTACTTTACAGTCAACACATCCACAAGTATAGGGATGCCCTTAATACTGCCCGCTCCAACTACTACTCCTCCATCATAAATAATGCTAAGTCTAGGCCGAGAACACTCTTTCGAACTGTTAACAAACTCCTCCATCCTCCTGTGTCAGCGTGCCCCCATTCAGCTGAGCAATGTCAGGCTGTTCTTCATTACTTTGAAAAGAAAATTAATCAATCTATAGTTTCTTTCCTTCTACTTCTCAGTCATTCGCCTCTACTGATTTTCCTACTTTGGACACATAGCTAACTTGTTTCTCACCTGTTGACTCCTTTTCTGTCTCTGAACGCATCACTAAGTCTAATGCTTCCTCCTGTCAGCTTGACCCTGCCCCCACCCCTCTACTCAAGGCCTGTTTATCTGTAATCATCACTCCAATTCCTACAGTGATAAATTCATGTCTCTCTTCTGGTTTTGTTCCTACTGCCCTTAAAACTGCTGCAGTTACTCCTATGCTTAAGAAACCTCAATTGGACCCAACTTCTCTTACTGACCCATCTCACACATTCCATTTTTGGCTAAAGTAATGGAAAGAGTGGTTGCTTCCCAACTCCAGACATTTCCTAGTGATAATGCCCTCTACGAGCCATTTTAGTCTGGTTTCCATACTCACCATAGCACTGAGACAGCTCTTCTGCAAGTAGTTAATGATCTTCTCCAGTCTGCTTATAGTGCTTCTCTCAGTATTCTCCTTCTCCTCGACTTATGTGCAGCATTCAATACTGTTAATCATGATGTTCTCCTTTCTCGTCTTTTCTCTATTGGTGTCACTGACACAGCCTTACAGTGGTTCAGGTCTTATCTTACAGACAGACAGCAGTTTATCACACTAGGTCCACACAAGTCCTCCACCTCTCCTGATACATGTGGTGTCCCTCAGGGCTCAGTTTTTGGACCCCTGCTTTTTTGTAATCTACATCTCACCCCTTGGCCAGATCATTCGTAGCCATGGCCTTAACTTTCACTGTTATGCTGATGATATTCAGTTATATCTCAGTACACACACACCCTCAGATTCTCCTCCCAATACACTAATCGATTGTATTTCTGATTTAAAGCTCTGGATGCACAATAACTTTCTCATGCTAAACACTGATAAAAATGAAGTCTTGCTGGTTGGCCCTGAACCTTTACTATCAAAATCATCCACTTTTTTCTGTTAGTATTGATGGCCTGCTTGTTAAGCCTGCACCTGTTGTTAGAAATCTTGGTGTTTTACTCGACCCATCACTTAATTTTGATCTGCATATCAAGTTCCTCACTAAGACAGCATTCTTCCACTTATGTAACATTGCTCGTCTTCACCTGTTCCTGACTGATACTGATGCAAAAACTTTGGTTCACGCCTTCATTATGTCCCGTATTGACTACTGTAACTCCCTCTTTGTTGGCCTCCCTGTAAAGTCTATACTAAAGCTACAGTACATTCAGAACTCTGCAGCTCGAGTTCTCACCCATACTAAGCGTTCAACTCGCATCACCCCCGTTCTTTCTCAGCTACACTGGCTACCGGTCCCATCGCGTATAAAGTTTAAAATTTTACTTCTCACTTTCAAAGCCCTGCATAACCTGGCTCCCCCCCTACCTCAGAGAACTGCTGACCTCTTACATTCCCTCTCTCTCTCTCTCAGGTCTTCTTGTAATAACTTACTTGCAGTCCCACGCACAAGACCTTCCACTTTGGGAGGGAGTTCCTTCAGTGCCATGGCCCCCAAACTCTGGAACTCTCTTCCTCAATCCCTCCGGGACTGCTCTTCTTTCTCCTCCTTCAAATCTGACTTAAAGACTTTTTTTCTTTCTTAAGCATTTTTCTTCCTCCTCCACTGCTTAGTTGTTGTTATTGTTGTTTTTTGTTTCCCCATGCTATGTGAAGCAACATTGGGTTTGTGAAAGGTGCTATATAAATGTAACATTATTATTATTATTATTATTATTATTATTATTAGACTGTATTTGCAAACTACTATAAAAATATTTTACACTGACATTTAGAATGCTCATATTTTTAAAATATGATAATTCTGACTAGTTGACTACTTTTTGAATGTCTAGTCAGCTAGTAAAAAAAATATTATACTAATATTTCAATTTAAACCAACTGACTTTCCTGCAGATGTAATGTAGAAAAATACATTTTAACACTTTCTATGAATACCATGTCTGTAACTATCTAAGCACATGTTCAAAACATATTATAATGGAGCTATAAAGCAAGTTTTTTTGAATTTGCTGACAGGAGTGTTTGTTGTTTGCTGCTTTCTCTGCTCTTGCATTGTAGATCTTGTAGTCTCTCATGGCTTTTTACATTTTCAATTAGCTGTTGCATATTACTCGCAAAAAATTACAACCACCAAATTTTGGAAGTCAGTTCTTCTCTCAGTGGATTCACGAGACATCTAGAAAGGACTCAATTCAGCCAACGAAACAACATGAGTATCAGTATGGCAGACCACAAGCTTTTGCTTTGCTCTGAGCACAGGGTGTTTAGTTATGCTTCTCTCTGTCAATAGTCAGCAGTGTTACTAGCTTTGTTTGTGAGAAGTGTAAGTTAGTTTCATGCTTGATACAGAAGATTACTCAGTTAGAGGTGCATGCAGAAGTTAGAAAAGAGCAGGGGTGGGGTCTCAGTGGCATAGTCACATATAGTTAGCTAAAGCTAAAACTACCCCAAGCGAGCACCACTCATCTCCCATTTACATGTCTAATAGGTTTGCCCCACTCAGTGAGACCCTCTGAGATGCCTATTGAAAGAGCTCTGGTTGGAGGTGATTCTCTTTTGCGGTAGTGAAAATAACTTCTTCTTTGGGGCACCAGTAGCAGTTAACTCTTTACCTGGAGCCAGGGCACCAGACAATAGAGGGAACCTGAAGCTGCTAGCTAGCCTTAGATATTCAAGGATAGTCATTCATGTAGGTACTAATGATGTTCGTCTGCAGAAGTCAGAAATAACTATAGACGACATTAAAGAGATGTGTAAATTAATCCAGACAATGTCCGATGCTGTAATATCTTCTGGCTCCATCCCAGTTCCACGTGCTGCTGAAATCTGCGGCAGGTTATGGTTGCTGAACTGCTGATTGTCCAAGTGGTGCTCAGAAAACAATGTGGGATTTGTAGATAATTGGTCTACTTTTAAGGGCAAGCCTGGTCTTTTGAGTCAGAATGGTATCTACTCCTCGCAGATAGCTCATAGTCTCTCAGATACCTGTCAGTGTATCTCTCATATAGCCCACATTAAAGCAGCCAGGCTGGAGGTATAGCAACCATCTAAACAAAAGCTTTAGGCATGAGCCAGAAAGTAGGCTACAATTTCTCTTCTTTTGAAATTCTTTTTCTTAATATAATTGTTTGATGAACAAATAAAAATTCCTTTTCACTAATTACAATCTATAGGCCGCCAGGGCTGTATTCTCAGTTCTTACAGGAATTCTCTGACTTTCTATCAGGTTTAATAACATTTTCGAAATGGCCTCTATCTATCTTAATTGTTGATAATGGATCTTCAAAGATGATATATGCTAAATATAGATACTGACCTTTTGACCTTTGTATACCATGCAGCAGATTTGTAGCAAATACATCAAAGTATGAGACAAATTGTTCAAATTCTTGCATAAATTGTATTACAAAGCTGTGAATTTGAAAATCGTATGAAATGCATGCCATGTCTCCAGTTTACATAAAATTTGACATTTGCATAGTTACACATCTCAGTGATGTTTTGTGCCTTTTCCCTATTGCAATCATGTCTTAAGCCAATATTTCGCTGATGTGCTGGTATCAGCCATGTTTTGAACATAGCAAGCTGCAATTAGAAACCTTGGATTGCAGTGCATCAACATGAACCTTGCAGTGTCTAACCTTTTTACAATATTCACTTGCTGAAATACAGGTTTAGCTATTAAAGCACCCCCTAAAGACCTATATGTACCAAACTTAGCAAGCTATATGTTGTCTAGTATTAGAGTGTGAACGTTTTTTGTGAATTTGGACAAAATCATGAGTTTACCTGTCTGGCTCTGGATCAATGAGTTGATTGGCATGTGGCAGCCATAATGATTAGAATTGGCAATATAGCTTTCATATTTATCAAAAAGCAGCCTTTTGTGGGTATTTTAACGTCACTTTCAGAACTAAACAAACATTTAAGAGCTAGTTTGCAAAGATAGTTTTCATATGTAGTATTTTAGCACCCCCAAGAGGCTGATTTGAATTAACAGCCAGCTGGATTGAAAATACTTATCTACGTGGTTTGCTTGTATAGCAACAAAAAAGCACATTTAGGTGATAATTATTTACCTAATGGACCCAAAACTATTTAAAGAGCAAATTTTAGGTGATTTGAAAAAAAAAAACCTAGGACTAGTTTGCATTATGTTATTTTCAAACAACTGACCAGTGAGGAAAACAGATGCATTTTAAAAAAAACTAACTCTAATTGCCAAATTGCTAGGGGCTCTGTAGTGCACGATAACGATCGAGTTTCATGTCTACAAGTGAAATAGAAAACAAAGCATACATGATTTTACTGTTGGAAACATGCATAGCGCACTTTAAAGACAGAAATGTACCAAAATGAAATGCCTATCTCAGAGTGTAAGTATATCCTTTGAAATTTCCTCAAAATAGAACCAAGTATTCTTGAATTTCAGCAGTTTAACCTAACAAAAATCCATTCCAAAAATTTTTTTGCATATGGCAGCCATATTGTTTTTAAATGTCACAATAATTTTCATCAGCAGATCAGCAGCAAATTTTTAACAAAGAACTCAAAATATGAGACATTGTGGAAACCTTTTGCCCAATCATTTATTTAAATAGGGTCAAATATATGCCTTTTCTTTATATTTATATTAAAATGTAACTTACAGTTTAAAAAACAAAGTATGAATTAGCAAAAAATATATTTAATGTAATTTTATCAACCCTCAAATCTCCCTTAAAACAAAAGGTACTTGAGAATAAAAGCAGTGAACATGATTCAGTGAAAGGCACTGAGAGTCTATAACACCATGACACTTAAGAGCCGATTTGTCATTCAGCAAAAGCACACATTGTGTTGTGAGACTGAAATATTATGTTGGGTTAAATTTAGTATACACTTATCTTGACAAACAACAACTGTCTGATTTGTAAACAAACTAAATTAGTATATTCCAGTCAGTGACAAAGAGAGGATATTGCTTGCCAATATTAATAATTACCCATGTTAGCTTGATTAATTTTTAGGATTTTCTACGTCATCAACAAACTAGCAACTATGTAGCTTAACTTACTGGAGTAAGCACTGATATTTCTCACAGTCCCACTGATACAAAGTGTTACTCTCTCTGACAACACAGGATGTTGTGATCGTGTAACCCCTCTTTATTAGAAACACTTACTTTGTGCTTCCACTCACTGGTCACTTTATTAGAAACACCTACCTCGTACATCTCCTCTCTGCCCTCTTATGAGAGTGGCCTACTATTTTAAAAACATACTAAATATCTGATCTTTGATAAAGAACTGACACAAACCTGCAGCTAGTCTAACTGCAAACTAGCAAAATGGAGCTACAAGGTTTACATTCTATTTACATATTTTAGCTAATATGTAGCCAATTATTCAATGACCAATGTTCAAATATTCAATAATTTAGATATACCACTCACCAAGCTTTTCTGCAGACAGTCAGAGCTGGGATCAGTCTCCTATAACCCTCCTCTGATGTGTTGTATTTCTTCAGGTCCAGCTCATCCAGAACCTCCCCTGAGGTCAGGAACACACAGGCTAATGCTGAACACTGTCCAGGAGAGAGTTTCTCCTCTGAGTGTCTCTGTGATTTTAGATACTCCTGAAGCTCTCTGGAGAGAGACTGGTCATTCATCTCAGACAGACAGAGGAACAGATTGATTGATCTATCAGTTGAAATGTAATATTGTTTATTATCCTCTTTGATTAGTTTCTTGACATACACTGTGATTTTCTCTGAGTTGTTCTGTGTTGGGGTCAGTAGACCCTGTAGGAGTCTCTGATTGGACTCCAGTGTGAGGCCCAGCAGGAAACGGAGGAAAAGATCCAGCTGTCCATTCTGACTCTTTACTGCTTTATTCACTGCTCTCTTCAGCAACTTATGCAGTGGAACATTCTCAAACCCCTTTCTGTGCTTATGTGTCATAGGCCAGATTTGGTGAGGGAGAAATGTAATATAATTATATTTTTGGGGACCGTGATCATGATCAACATACAGGAACATCTGCAGAGCTTCCATGTTCTTGATCTCATAGCAGTGAAACACATAGACAGCAGCCAGGAACTCCTGAAAGCTCAGATGAACAAAGCAGTAGACCTTCCTCTGGTGAACCACACATTCCTCCCTAAAGATCTCAGTGAAAATCCCAGAATACACTGAGGCCTCAGTGACATCAATGCTGCTCTCTCTCAGGTCCTCTTCATAGAACATCACATTGCCCTTCATCAGCTGTTTGAAAGCCAGTTCAGCCAGTTTCAGAAGAACGGTTCTGTTGGACTCCAGCAGGTTCTTTGGGTTTCTCTCGTCTTCCTCCTCATACTTCTCGTTCTTCATGTTGGTCTGAGTGATCAGGAAGTGTGAGTACATTTCAGTCAGAGTTTTTGGGATTTCTGTATGATGCTGTTTCATGATTCTCTGAAGAACAGTGGCTGAGATCCAGCAGAAGACTGGAATGTGGCACATGATGTGGAGGCTCCTCACTGTCTTAATGTGGGAGATGATTCTCTGGGCTTGGTCTTCATTACTGATCCTCTTCCTGAAGTACTCCTCCTTCTGTGGGTCACTGAATCCCTGAATCTCTGTCACACGGTTGATGTATTTAGGAGGGATCTGATTGGCTGCTGCTGGTCGGGAGGTTATCCAGATCAGAGCAGAGGGAAGCAGCTCTCCTTTGATGAGGTTTGTCATCAACACTCCCACCGATGATGTCATGGTGATGTCAGATACTTTGTCACACTGTTTAAAGTTCAGTGGAATTCTGCTTTCATCCAGACCATCAAATATAAACACAGCTTTGATCTGATCATAAATCTCTGGGTCCAGATCTTTGAGCTCAGGATGGAAGTCACACAGAAGTCCATGAAGACTGTATTGATCATCTTTAATCAGGTTCAGCTCCCGGAACGGAAGCACAATCATGATCTCTACATCCTGATTGGCTTTTTCTTCAGCCCAGTCCAGAATGAACTTCTGCACAGAGACAGTTTTTCCAATTCCAGCGATGCCTTTAGTCAGAACAGCTCTGAGCTCTGGCTCTTCTGGTCTGTGATCTTCTCTTTCTCTGTGTCTGAGTCTGTCAGCCTTCACAGCTCTAATGGTCTCTTCTCGTGTTTTTCCTTCAGGACCTTGTAGAGGTTTAAAGATGTCTGAGCAGTTGATTGGAGAGTCTTGTAAGCGTCTCCTGGATGTTTTCTCCATCTGTCGAACCTCGTGTTCTTCATTCACTCCTTCACTCTCTCCCTCTGTGATGTAGAGCTGAGTGTAAATCCTGTTCAGGAGAGTTTTATTCTCTTCTGTTTTTTTTCCCTCAAATAAGCTCTCGCACTTGTTCTTCATGCTGATTTTGTGTCTCTGTAAGACTCTGAGTAGAACATCATCCACTGGTTGGTAAGAATCCTGATTCAGGTCTCCAGTTTCCTCCAACAGAGTGTTTATCTGCAGTGCAGTTTCTGTGGAGCACTGCCTGATGGGGGGCAAACACAGTAACACAAATATTAACACAAATAGGCATAATAACTGCTCATGTAACAGAGGAAAATATTTTAGTAGAATTCAAAGAACATTACAATGTTACAATGTCCATTACAATAAAGTAAGACAGCATGTATTTTTTTTTTACTGGTGCTGCTTTGTGTTATTAAAAAGATTGCTAATTATGAGTTTTTGGTGACTGCTAGTTTTTAGAGTGGAGAAGCATGGTACTGACTAGCTGCTGTTTTTCCTCTGATTATATTCACATACATATGTGTCTAACCAACTTGGTACTGCTGTTGCACTGTTGAGGGACTGATATAGCAGGGTTGCAAATGGTATCGTGACTGTCTTTAACCCTCCTCATTGCAGCTTGTTCTACTGTGAGTTGCTTCTACTTCTTGACCAATATAGAGTTTAAATGATTTGCACATCATTCCTTTTTATTCACATTTTGTACAGTGTCTCAACTTCTTGGGAAATGGGTTTGTACTTCTTGCAGTGTTCCTTGTGTAGACACTGCAGCTCTCAACTCATCATGTCCAACATGTTGACCATGGGGAGGAAATCATGAGTAGACTTAGATGAAAAGCTAGAGATGTTGTCAAAATAGCTCTATGCAGTTACCCAACACATGATGTTACTAGCCACCCTGGCATGCTTTATGGCTTATGCAGATGCAAGGCAAACATATGGAAGACATTGGTAGGGAGGTAGCAAAGATGTTTATTTGCAACTTCCTCATTCTGGCCTTGTTTATGTGTTCAAACCCATACCCATTTGGCAGTAGACTGCTAAGGAGGTGCAGGAACAGATTAATGAATTCCAGAGAGAGAAAAAGCACCGATGATTTCCGCTGCAAAGACAGCTGCTAATAAGAAACAAAAGTAATCATTTGTGATCATAACGAGTTTTCAGGGGATTCAGATGTAGAACTAATAACTATTAGGCAGAAGTCAATGGAGTCAAGTCTTCAGCCCTAGATCCAGCTACCCACTCAAGTCTTGATCGCATGGCTGATTTGCTGTCCATGGTTTTGGATGTTCTGACCACAAGGGAGCAGCATCCTTGATAACCTCACCATAACACATCCAGCAGTGCCCCTAACAAAACCCAATCCTGTCATATTTGCAAGGATCAATTGCATACTACATTTTCACACTGCAGAGCTGAACGCTTATGCTTTGGGTGCCATGCGCCAGGTCACACCAAACAGAATTGCCCAGCAGCTATGCAGCACACACAGTTTATTCCCATGTCCGGCAAGGAATCAACCTCACTCAAGGGAAATGAGTCAACCTACATTCAGAGAAGGGAAGTCAAAGCAAGACAGAAGGCGAACCATCACGTCAGGGGCCTACTGGTGGAGAGACACCCCTTGGTGTGTATGGGTGCAGGAGCTCCCTCTCATCCCCCTTACAGCGCCAATCCTGGCTCCAAGGAGAACTGGAGCTTTCCTTCCCTCTGTTCTGAGAGACTGCTCAGAGTTCCCCCTCTTTCCCCCTCCCATTCCCGCTCCAAGAAAGCCCAGAGCTTGCCTTCTCTCCCCTTCCATCCCCAATCCAAGAAGGCTCAGAGGCTCCCATCCTCTCCCTTCTCACAAACATGACACTGAGGCCCCACCTGCTCATGAACACATCGCCGAGGCACCACCTGTTTGCAAAGATATCAGTGCGACCCTGGCTGGTTCTGCTGCCACCATACACGCAGCCTCCCCTGACATGCCAGTAGCCTCTAAGTCTCCTGCCTGGCTGGTGACTGATCCCCTACCTAAACCACAGGTCCCTGGCCTGAGTTGGGTAATGGGGTATGTGCCACACAATGTCCCCTGGGCCCTTTTTGCAGCTGCAAGAGCTGGCAGGGACCGAATCCTGAATACCACTGAGGGACGCGAGTGATGGTGGGACAAGGACATGAAGCATAAAGGCGGGACACAAGTTGCGAACTCCTCCCCCCAGGCCCCACCCCTGTTCCACAGAGAGACCGCTAGACTACACCTCATGTTTGATCCAGGCAGACGAGCTGTGGGGGCAGTGACAGGGAGGTGGAGCAACGAGCTCTCTGACACTTTCAGCTCAGGAGCTCATGCTGCCTCTAATAAGAGCCTTTAAAAAAGAGCTAAGAGGGAACAGAGAGAGAAAGAGAGGGGCGAGCAGCAGCAACGATAGAATGAAAAGCTGAAAAGCTTGATTTGGATAAAAATACTGAAAAGTCTCACTTTGAAGCCCTGAAAAGGGGTCAGCTTTGGTTGTAGGTTGTTTTGTTTGGTTGGTGTGAAAATAAAGTTGAAATGGCTGCTGCAGATGTCACCCCCAAAAGGAAATACTGCTGTGAATGGGACTCCTGCTTGTGAGGGAGCTCTAAAAGGTCTCAAGAAAGCTTTGCTCACTCATATTGTAGTGGCACACCCAGACTTTAGACAGCCTTTTACATTGTCAACCAAAATTCCTCCAAGGTGCTTGGCACAGTTCTTTCACCTTAAGTTCTTTGCCTTAATGTGGGCTATTTGCGACAAGTTTAGCAACGGGCTAAAAGGACATACCTTTACAGTTGGGACAGACAACAATCCACTGATGCACATTCTGAAAAAGCCATTGATGCGTGTGAACAGAGATGGGTCACTAAGCTTGCTGCATTTGATTTTGACTTTAAGTATGTGCCTGGTCCTAAAAGATAGTAGCTGATGCCTTGACTGTCATTTGCTGATGATAGGATCAGCCATCAAATCATTCATGAGCCATACAAAGACCTACTGAATGAGTCAGAGAAACTGTCCAATGGTTCTGTCCAAGACTTCCTCAGGTTATCTACTACAAGCCATTATATGCAGTTTTTCCTCAAAACAGAATCCACCACAGCAAGCTATTGTGGGTCAGCGAGAGGTCAGAAAGAAGTTTTTCAAGTGCTGAAATTTCTGCTGTTTTTAAAAGCCATATTGAATGGCTTGCTGCACCTCGCACCTGAGCTAACCATGTATAGCAATTTTCTGACACTGGACAAGTCACACAGTTTTCTTAGCCACTCAAAGACCTGCAGGCAAAGCAGTTAGAGGATGTGTGATTGCGCTTGTTGAATGAAATGCAGGTCATCCAAAAGAGAGATGAACACAAAATGCCCTAAAACTACTTAAACAGTGAGAGACGTTCACACTGGAGGATGAAATACTGTACTGAGTGTCAAAGGACCTGTTAACAGAACATAAGAGGTTTCTGTTCATGGTCATTGTCTTTGAAGGACAAAGTCATGAAAGGATATTACAATGAGGCAGGTCATCAAGGCCAGTTCAGAACATTGTATGTCAGAGGTTCTACTGGACAGACCTTGACTGTGATGTGAGGAGATATGTCAAGACATGCTCCCACTGTGTTATTAGAAAAATGCTTAACCCAGAAGGATGTGCACAGCTCAAAAGTATTAAAACAACAGCACCTTTAGAGCATAGACTTTTGGTCTGCTGAGGAGGGCACTGGCAAATCAGTTGATGTTTGAGTAATCACTGTTGAAAAAAACTTGTACACGCTTTTATTGTCCAAATCTGTTGTTAAGAAGTTGTGGGACAATTAAATTTGTTTTTTTGGCTTTCCAGAATGTGTGCACACTGATCAGGTTACTAACTTTTGAGATTGTGCTGATCAGTCATCTTTTGCAGCTCTCAGGGGTGAAAAAATCACACCACAGCTTACCATCCAATGGGTAATGGAATGACTGAATGATTCAACTATAACTTGGATGATATGATTAGGGCCCTTCCTGCAAGTCCCAAACACCAGTGGGCACAGATGCTTCATATACTGACATTTATGTACAATTGTACAGCACATGAAACAACTGCATTTCCAGTTTTACCTCATGTTTGGCCAAGTCCCACGCATTCATACTGACATTGTCTTTAAGAGTGTGTTAAAGAATCACGATGAGTCCCTGAAAGCTAAGGGTTCTGAAATTAAGACTGGTGATTGAGTTCTTGTGGTGAGCTCTTGTGGGTGAGCATGTGCACCATAAGTTGGCTGACAGGTGGGAGAGCAGTGTATACTCTGTTGTTGACCAGAATAAACAAACCCATATCTACAAGAACAAGAATCCTATGACTGGCAAAATGAGAGTAGTCTACTGCAATCTCTTGCTCAGGGTGAACCTTTTGGTATTCTCATATGAAACTGAAGATTTATTCAGTGACTTGTCAGATTAGAATGAGGAAGTTTCTGTTTCCAATCATGAGGGCCAATCCCATAATCTAGATGGACTGGAAATGAATTGCCTGCTCAAGGAACCAACATCGGCAATAAAAGAAATGAGAATGTGAATGACAGGACAGGGGTTGATACAGGGGTTGATCGCAGGAACCTGATGTTGACAGTATGATAGTTGTGGATGTGGTGCCAGCCCTGGACACTGCTGATATGGTTCATGGGACAACACAGAAGCGCATGAACCACTTATAGCTAGATCAAGAGTTGGTTGCATTCTGAAGCCTGTCAATCACCTGATATACACCATGGGTAGTCTTTTTCAAACCCAAAATGACACTTTAGGAAAATGGGCAAATTCAATAGTCAGGCACACATGTACACAAAAAGTTATAACTCACACATGGGTCTTCTTTCTTTTTGGAATTTTGGTTGAGTAAAAGCCAGTGAGTCTTAAGGGAACTGCAGGCATAAAGTGTGAAAGGCACCTCATTCAGTCATGACTGTAGATAGGGTAATACATACGGTACTTCTCCTTCTCTTTACCTTTCTAGCTGACTGCCTGCATTTGTATGTGATGGTTTCTTCTCAGTTCCAGTGAAATGTACTCATTGTGTTATCATAAGTTTTCTTATTATTTTCTTTTTCTTGCTCCTTCACTGTACATAGTTTTGCTGTAACTGTTGCATATAATTTGGGCAAATTTAAATGGAGGAGAATGTAACAGAGAAAAAAAAACATTATTGTAAGTAAAATTATTTTAGTAGAATTTGCCAAAATTGGTTCTAAGAGAGAATAGAATTTGATATATTTTTCTATGGGCACACAATGACATTCCACAGAGGGATTATTGCATATTTAATGAAGCAAACTTCTATAATGTGCAGTTCAGTCTGGTTTTGCCTCAAAAAGGTATGGTTAGTTTAGACATTTTCTCCAATCTCTTTATCTATTTATTTTTAGTAAGTGTTTATAAGTTTTGTTATCATACTTTCATGCAATAATCACATATATACAGTATATACAGTACATATATACAGTATATCACAAATATACAGTGTGTATATTTTTGTTGGTGCTGCCTCATTTGTGTTATTATAAAGTTTGCTAATTAATTAATTGCTGCATCTATCTTCCAGCCAGAGCTAGCTATGCTAGTACTGTGTACCATGTGGTCTAAATGATACATGAAACTGATTTTTTTGGTGCCTTATAGCTATTAAAGTGGATACTGACTAGCTGCTGTTTTTCTTCTTATACTTAAATAATAAAAATAATAATAATGATAATAATAGATATGTGTATTGTATTTTCTCTAGCTTTGCTTAATATTCCACGTTGTATTTCTTTTGTTTTTTTATTACTGTTTTATTATATAACCAAGTAAGATGAGCTGTTTTATACTAAAAAAGTTGAGTCTATGCTTTAGTAATTTATATCATAATTGCTATAAGTTCAGTCTGATCTTACATTTACAGCATTTAGCAGACACTCTTATCCAGAGCGACTTACAAAAAGTGCTTTGTCTATCTAGAGAAAGTATCTTTGCTAGTTACCAATAGCTTAGAGAGAAGCTAGTCCTGAGCTAGTCACTGTCAAGCTAGTCAGATACTGCTAGAAACAAAAAGTCACTGTTTATACCCAGAGAAAAAGGAACAGAGTTAAACACAGCAGTGCAATACAATACAATACATAAGTGCAGTACAATACATTACAATGAATACTTAATTCAGTGCTCATTTAAGTGCTGTATAAAGAGACGGTCTTCAGTCTGCGTTTGAAGACAGCAAGTGACTCTGCTGTACGGACAGCCAGTGGGAGTTCGTTCCACCACCTGGGCACCAGTACACAGAAAAGTCTTGATGTTTGTCTTCCGTGCGTCTTGAAGGATGGTGGGTCAAGTCGAGCAAGTTGCAGTAGCCAAGCCTTGAGATGACAACAGACTGCACTAGCACCTGGGTGGCCTCTCGAGTGAGAAAGGGTCTGATCCTCCGGATGTTGTACAGGAGAAATCTGCATGACCGAGTTAGGTTCGTGATATGAGCGGAGAACGATAACTGGCCATCCAGAATCACACCTAGACTTCTTGCCTCTACAGACGGGACAATCAGAGAGTTTTGCTGCTGAAAAGATATGCTATCAGAGTGGAGAGGCACAATACTCATTTGCTGCTGTTTTTCCTCCGATTATACTCAAACACACGGATTTGACTCCAGTAACCAACCAACTTGGTTTTGTTGTTGCTTTACTGAGGGACCGAGACAGCAGGGTTACACTATGTAGCTGGCTGATGAACTTTGTCTTTCATCAAGAAACTGTTTCAAATGCTAAAGGCTCAGTATGTACATATAATTAGATTTATGTTTTGTTTCTAGTTTTGGCATTAGATCCCCTGACAATTTTTTTCTTTGCTGAGCTAAAAAAATGTAATGCTGTTAAAAATGGAAAAAGAAATATGACCCACAGTTCCCACAGGCTCTTTTTCTTATCTCCTGACCTCAGTAGAGCCCTAAACAAGCAGTTTTTCTACAGAGGCTCTTATTGTAAGGCAGGGCTAGCCCGCTAGGTGTGTTTATGTTTTGGGGGAACAGGGAGAACCTGGATGGGGTTGAGGGATGAGGCGGAGAGTTATAAGTTTTGGTCAGAGAGCAAACTGTGAGTAAAAGTTATCAGGCGTGAGGGAAGGCTGGAGCCAGAGACAGCCTTTAATAAAGTCTACAGTTGTGGAAAAGCTGCGTGCCTCCTTCCGTAGTGGTGGAATGCTATATTTGGTGTCAGGACCTTACAAACTTGCACCAAGAGATACTGTCTTTTCAGCCACTAGTATTAGCCACTAAGCTAGCAAAGAGAATGGAGAATGGAGTGCTGGCTTCAAGTGAAAATTGAGGACAATGGCAGTAAACAGACATTGCTGTGTACTCAGCTGCAGCAGAGTAAGCCTTGGACCAGCTCTGTGTGCAGCAGAAGAGAGAAGGAAGGGGGAGAGGATTGGGTGGGAGCGCGCTAGCTAGCGCTGAAGCTAAATTCAAGGCTGTGCCATTTGAAACTGCTGGTAGTGCTTCAGAAACCCACCACACACGGATATATAAGGCAGTGGCTTGACATTTCCCCCTGGGTGCCGGAGGCTGCAGACCAAGCCTTGGAAAAAATGCAGTGTACCACAAAGAAAGACTCATACCCCATTCCATGCTTGGATGAATCTTTAGATCTAGTGGCCACTTGGTTTTTCATCTTTAGACTTGAGAAGCGGATACTGACAGGTCCCATTGTCCCCAGAGGCTAGACCCCAAACAGCATTCTGCCCAGGCAGGGGGCTATGGTATTTCAAGGTTCTTGCTTTCGGGCTCTAACGAATGACTATCTAGCACAAACTGATTTTATGAATAATGTAGTATTTATCACAAGGAAAGAGGACACACAACTTATGCACAAGGTCTTGCACTCTATTAAAGGATGTAGTCAGCTAACAGTTAGCTCTAGCATTAGCTCGGTTCTGCCCTCACTTGCTTCCAAGCCCTGACTGACTAGTTCTTCCTGTTGTAACACAATGTACACATTGCTTGAACACAGTACAATATTTTTAAGTGCCACATCTGTGAAACTCTGTAGATAATTGAAAGACATGGTGATACCACATAGTGACTGAACATGCAGAACTGTCCTTCTCCACTGCTGAGATTTAAAGTCACAGTCATGGAGCAAAAGGTGTTCGTGTTCAATAATCCAAACTTCTTAAACTGTTGATTCAGTGTTATAGTAAAGGAAAATATCTCACTCTGGGTCAGAATGTCCAGTTTCACTGCTGTATGCAGGAAGGTCCCCAATAGACTGGTCACTCTTCATAGAGATACAGCTGGCTTCTCCTTCACCTCTGCTGAATCCAGGTGGGATCCCCATGGACCAGTCACTCTTTATAGACACACAGCTGTGCTCTGGAGATCCTGCACACTTTACACTGACAGCAAGTTGAGAGAAAAATGTGTTTTTATTTATTTTTTTAGCTTTTTTCTTTTAGTACATTTTTCATTTGTTCTTTTTTATAATGAGTGCTGATATAAAGTTACTCACATTGGGTGAAAGGTTCCTCCTCCACTGCTGGAGTGATGCTCCATCATGGAGCTGTTACTCTGGAATTCTCCCTGTGAACTATTCAGACACACAAAACACACATAGGATGTTGAACACACTCACTGTAAGATCCTGAGTTTGTTGTCACTAAAGCATCATGCTGTACTTGATAAACAAATGAAACTACGATGTTTGAAGAGTCTTTAATCTCTGTATTCAGAGTTATGTGCACATATTGAGGAGATAACATTGAAATTACACACATCTGTATTCAGACATCAGATTTATCTCTCCAGTTTAGCTCTGCTAATTAAATTGTACACGCGTCTCAATTCAGTTTGAAACATTGTTCTCTTGTGTGATATTGATTCTGCAGGACTATCTGACTGATTGTTATAACCACAATATTTCAAACAAAAGTTTGTCTTTGGCCTTTACTGAATACACAACTATCAATGTTTCATGTATAGATATAATTTTAAAAATAGAAAATCAAATTAATAAATGCAGAAACATGTATCTTTACATTTTTATTTGTTATTAATTTTATTAACAATAACAATAATTGAAAAAGAAGCAAGATATATTCAACTGCCTGTACAACTATTTATGGTGAACAGCATGACATTCCCTGCATGTTTTAAACAAAATGCAGTTTGTTATTCCACACCAATTCATTTGGGGTCTTGCTGGTCACGTTATGGAATTCTGTGAAAAAAAATCAAGCAAATCCCTTTACTTACTTCCAGAAAACAAGCAAAGCTTCATAGTTTAGTTAGCAGGTTTTAAATCACATCTTAAATATTAAGTTTACAGAATGACTGAACTGAACTATCCCTGGCGGGCAGCCAACCACCAGCTCTGTGAGTGTCCTCTCCGTCAGTGTGCTGGAGTGGAGCGATTGAACACTGAATCCTCCCCCTGGGCATGGTGGAACTCCTGACATCTCACAACGTCAAGTCTGGTGCTACTCTGGCTGATGGCAGCTGCAATGCACTCCTCTCAGCCACCTTCTATTTTCCAAGGTTGTATCTTCTTCAAGCTCCTCCACTGTGTAGCACTGTGCTGCTACACTATGGTAGCATTTGTTGTTCGTTTCTATATCGAAGATGAGTTCAGCTCTCTGCTTTGGCAGCAGCTGCTTGAAGGCTGGTCAGTGTGGCAAGCAGTTCATCCAGCAGCAGTATGTTCAGGAAGTGTTGCAGCACCAACTCCTCCTGCGCAAACTTCTTGAATGTTGGGTATGCTTGTTGCGCCATTGTGGTCAGTTCCACCACAGCACACTTATCCATTCTGACCACACTACTGGCACCTGCCAAAGGCGTCACTGGAGGGCTGTTGTCAATGCTACTAAGTTGTCATATTGTTGCAGCAGCAGATCCACAACCACCTGTAATGATTTCCCTTCCAGTGCCGAATACAGCCGCATTGCAGTGATAGCCACCTTCCAGCTGTGATGCCAGGCAACCACTTGTAGCCGTGTAGAGAACAACTCCCAGGCACCCTCATCATTGTTCCATGGTCAGAGGACATTTCCTTTACTGCCTTCCTCAGGTAGCCACCTCACTCTCCGCTGTCTTGACCCATCTCGAAAAAGGCAGACATACACTATATTGCCAAACGTATTCACTCATCTGCCTTCACACGCAAATGAACTTAAGTGACATCCCATTCTTAATCCATAGGGTTTAATACAATGTCAGCCCACCCTTTGCAGCTATAACAGCCTCAACTCTTCTGGGAAGGCTTTAGGCTTTAGGAGTGTTCATGGGAATTTTTGACCATTCTTCCAGAAGCACATATGTGAGGTCAGACACTGATGTAGGACGAGAAGACCTGGCCTCTAATTCATCCCAAAGGTGTTGTATCGGGTTGAGGTCAGGTCGGTGTGCAGGCCAGTCAAGTTCTTCCACACCAAACTCGCTCATCCATGTCTTTATGGACCTTGCTTTGTGCACTGGTGTGCAGTCATGTTGGAACAGAAAGGGGCCATCCCCAAACTGTTCCCACAAAGTTGGGAGCATGAAATTGTCCAAAATCTCTTGGTCTGCTGAAGCATTAAGAGTTCCTTTCACTGGAACTAAGGGGCCGAGCCCACCTCCTGAAGAACAACCCCACACCATAATCCTCCCCACCAAACTTTACACTTGGCACAATGCAGTCAGACAAGTACCGTTCTCCTGGCAACCGCCAAACCCAGACTCGTCCATCGGATTGCCAGACGAAGAAGCGTGATTGGTCACTCCCGAGAACACGTCTCCACTGCTCTAGAGTCCAGTGGCGGCGCTTTACACCACTGCATTCGACGCTTTGCATTGTGCTTGGTGATGTAAGGCTTGGATGCAGCTGCTTGGCCTTGGAAACTCATTCCATGAAGCTCTCTACGCTGTTCTTGAGCTAATCTGAAGGCCACATGAAGCGATTGACTCTACAGAAAGTTGGCGACCTCTGTGCACTATGTGAGCCCGCTCTGTCATTTTACGTGGCCGACCACTTCACAGCTGAGTTGCTGTCGTTCCCAATCGCTTCCACTTTGTCATAATACCACTGACAGTTGACTGTGGAATATTTAGTAGCGAGGAAATTTCACAACTGGACTTGTTGCACAAGTGGCGTCCTATCATGGTACCACGCTGGAATTTACTGAGCTCCTGAGAGCGACCCATTCTTTCACTAATGTTTGTAGGAGCAGTCTGCATGCCTAGATGCTTGGTTTTATACACCTGTCGTCATGAAAGTGATTTGAACACCTGAATACAATGATTTGGATGGAAGAGTGAATGCTTTTGGAAATATAGTGTAGCAATTGTTACCCCCTTCCCCTGGGCTAGGTCTTCTTTGCCGTCTGCCTTTGAGTTTGTTGATGAAACGCTTGATTTCTTCAAATTCGACAGCCACATCCCACTTCTGAAAACAGTGTAGTGTTGGCAAAGAAGAAGAACTGCACAACATTGCATGTACAGGCAAATGTTCTTTTATTTTCAACAGGAACTTCAATAACAACACAGAAATGCTCAGTTCAGTGTTACCCCAACACAAAACACATGGAGGGGGCAATCCAGGAAGACTTGACACATGAGGAGGGTAGACAAGCACATACACAAAACCCATCCACCTCGGTCACAATTACACCTCCAATTGCAACCTGCAAATACCAATTACTACAAAAACAACAACAACAACCACAACCAACTATCCTTTTTACACAGGAATATGGCCATACCCCCTAGGCTCCCCACAGTAATGCAATAATTCAACTTATTAACTGAATAGCAAGTGGTTCATTGGCTGGGTCAGAACTGTAGAATAGAGAAACCATAAACATGTGCAGAGCCAAAGATCACCAGGACTGGGATTAGTAACCCCTGGTCTACTCTATAGCACAATTATATCAATAACAAACACAGCTTACTGTTCATGCTTTAAATTAAGGTCTGCTGTTTCACTTCACGTCTACTTCCTTACATTCTTACCTAGAAGCTTCTCTGCTAGATGTTTTTTTTTTAACATCAGCTAGAACTTTAATCCTCCACTGAGTTTAGTTTAAATCTTTAAAACACTCACATGTGCGTTCTTTCTTTATTCTACACATGAGCATTGTACATAGATTTCTGTATATAATAAACTTACCTTGTGGAATAAAGTCACTGTCTCTCTCCTTCTTCTCCGACAGCGTCAGTTTACTTTACTTTTGCTTTTGATTCAGGAAGTGCTACAGGAAATGTGAAACTACTGAATCAGGACACTGTCCTCTATGGATTTACTATTCCAGCTCAGTAAAGAACTCATCTCATTCCCTGAAAGGGAACCAGAGGTGCTAACAGTAAAAATAAAGGCATACAAACAAACTCAAAACAAACTAAATTATACAGTCGAATGTAAAGGTTTGTACAAAGAAATTGCACACTTTGTATTTTAGATTATTTATTTATTTTCAAATTACAATTGGCATATTTGTGTTCTTTGCAGAAAACGTGTTACTTATTTACACTTACAAAATCAAAAGAAATGGGAGTATTCAATTTTTCAACTTCCTTTTACTCTGTTGTTGTTGGAAAATCTCTTTACATAAATTACATTAAAGAAAAACATAAAGGCAAAAGGCTGAAAAAGAGTGAAAAACAATAAAAAAAAAAAAAAATGCAGTGTTATTTTTCCAGCACTCTGAGTGAGGAATTTCACCACCTGCGATATTGCTAGTGTTTAACCTCCAGGAGAGCTGATTAAACTCAGGATAGCAGTTCTACTGGAGGCTTTACCAGCACCCTGAGTAAGGAAGATCACAGAGTTGTCTCTTTACTGGAATCTTGATGAGGATTGTCCAACTTTGTTCAAGAGAGACATTTTTTTCTGGATGGAGAGGGTTACATTAGTGTGCATTTCTGTGGGTGGTGCCACCCATCCCCCACTGGCAGTACCTGTCTTTTAGGTGTCCTGTGTCTGTACATGTCTGTGTGTGAGTAATACTTTGAAACATCCACTGCTACATGAAGAGCAAAACTATTTGATTTATATGGATTTATATGTTTATTACCAGCATTACCAGCTGGTTAGGTATATATATATGGGTGATTCCATAATTGAGGTGCCATTAAGTCTATTTAATTTTTTTTACACATTTGTTAGCATAGAAAACATACATTTAATGTATCATGGATTACTGTACCCATTATACATAGAGTACAGTTTGCTAGCTATTTCTCCTAAGTTTCCCATAATTCTTCATAATTTCTTCTTGCATATGAGAGAGGAAGTACTTGGGTTTCACCTTCTGTCTTTAAGTAGAGTTATTGGCTTGTTAGATTTAAATTTGTTTAAATTTTTGTTAAATTTTGTTACCAAGTTCCCACAAATTCCCATAATGCCTCAAAATGTCTATTGCCTCTTAAAAGAAGAAGTCACTGGCTTTCACCAATTTTGGGTAAAATTTATGGTACTCTTACAACAGTTTAACCCAGTGTTGATTTTCTTTACTGTAATATATTCCTCTGAAAATCATAATACTTACATCATACACAATCACAATTTACTGTGTTCAACAGTTAAACAGTAAACAGACAAAGTGAAAGAAAGAGAGATAGAAAGAGAGCAGAGTCAGGCTGTGATGAACTGACTAAAGTCTGTGATGTGGTATCATCTTTAAAGTGAGATTGGGGAGTAAATGTATCTTTGCTAGTGCATTTTTAAGTTACACACCAAATGCAGAAACTTCATAGCTTTTTTAACGATTTGATTTTAGCCCTATTTTGTTAAGTGATATTCTGATGTGTCTTAGTGATACTAATAAAAACAGCTAGAGGAGCAATTTGCAATAAACTCACATGACTGGGTACAAAAAGAGCATTTTGTAGAGGCAGAGTCGCTCAGAAGAAAGATGGGCAAAGTTTCACCAATCTGCCAAATCTGCGTCTATAAATTGTGGAAAAATTTCAGAGAAATCTTCCTCAATGTAAAATTGCAAAGACTGGATATCCCACCATCTACAGTACATAATATCATAAAGAGGTTCAGAGAATCTGGAGAAATCCCTGTATGCAAGGGACAAGGCCAATGGTCAATATTAGATGCTTGTGATCTTCGGGCCCTCAGGCGGCACTGCATTGAAAACAGACAAGGTTCTCTACTGGAAATCACTGCATGAGCTCAGGAACACTTCCAGAAATCACTGTTTGTGAGCACAGTTCACTGTGCAATCCACAAATCCAAGTGAAAGCTGTATTATGCAAAGAAGAAGCCATATATCAACAAGATCCAGAAACGGCGCCAGCTTCTTTGGGCCCAAGCTCATTTAAAATGAAATAACTGTTAACTGTGTCCTGTGGTCCAAATAATCAAAATTTGAAATTCCTTTTGTAAATAGAGGACACTGTATCCTCCAGACTAAAGATCTTCCAGCTTGTTATTAGCACACAGTTCAAAAGCCAGTATTCATATTGTATCAACCAGTATTGTATAAAGGTGCATTAGTGCACAAATCTCAGATCATTAGGAACTGGTCAGTTAGTCCTGCTGAAGGTGAAGACTAAACATGGAGAAGCAGCGTTTTGCTACTATGCTGCTCTTAAATGGAAACAGCTGACAGAGAGCATGAGAAGAGCTCAGATACTGGACACTTTTAAATCCAGCCTGAAAGCATTCCTATTTGAGCTACTTTTAGCACAGTTTAAACCACTGTTAGCTTTTCTAGACCCTTCTCCTCATGTCATGCATCCCACTGACTTTTCTTTAATGAAAAGACTCAACCTCCCAGAATTCTTTGGGAGATCACATGACTGACACACCCAGCACCTCAGTGGACTCAATTTCCCAGAGCTCCCTGAGAGATCACTGGACTATCTCTCCACCAAAACCAACCTATAAAAAAACATCAATACCCATCAATCAAAAACAACAAAATCAAATCAGAATCAAATTCAAATTAAAAAAAGAACAAACAATAAATATTTGAAAATGTTTTTAATATTTTTAAAATGAAAATTGCTCAAAGATATGCATTTTTACAGTTTCAAATGTTCTGCAGAACACTCAGTGCAGATGGAGCTCTGTAACTAAAAGCTGCCTTGCCATGTTCTGACTGTACTGTTGGAACGTCCAGCTGAACAGAACTATCAGTATGTAAATCGTACAAGAATTATTTCATGACAAGACAAGAATGCTAATAAATATAAAGGAAGCTGATCAAGAATTGCTTTGTGAACAAAAATGTTCCAATGAATTTGGCTTTGCACTGAAAGTGGAGGCCAACCAATCATTTCATAAAGTTCACTGTGATGAGCTGAATATCTAGCGTGTGTTATAAACCTTAATGAGGAACGATAAACAGAGTCCAGTGAGTGCAGCGCTGTCTTTGAGATCTATAACATCGCCATCATCTAAAAGAGATGAAAAAGCTTCAACTAGTTTTTGTACCTGTTGAATGAAGCAAAAACTTTTCTTAAAATAAAACCCAAATTTAACTTCTGTATGAATTATTTGACATGCAATTTAAAAGATAGGCTATCATCTTACACAAAAGCTAAATATTTATAAGATGAAACTAATTCTATTGGTCTGTCCAGCAGTGTGTAAATCTGTGATCTGTGTCATGTTTTTAGAGAATAACATATATTTTGTTTTTGATCATTAAGAACCAGCCTTAGAGAGCTCAGACTAAGCTGAGCTGGGCAGGGATTCTAAATACATGTTTTAGTTATTTATGCATTTATGTAGTTCTACATTTATTAATTCGATAGATCTATTTACTCATGTATTTAAAAATAAACAAATAATTAAATCTGGGACTTGAAAACTAAATAAATAAATAAATACATGCACTCTGAGTGTCACCTTTTAGAGACAGTAAATTAATTCCAGCACATGTAGAACCGACTGTATCAAAATAAAATCACTTAAATCTCAGTAAAATCCCTTTTGCAAATACTCTTGAAAGCCATATATCTTGCTCTCTCACTCACTTCTATTTCATCTTGAACATCTGCATGACCAGCATATTCCAATGTCATGAATCAGTCACCAATGTTCAGAAAGACTCTTAAAAACCCTGTTTGTTTTCCTGCTCTCTTGCAAACTATACAACATGCCAGTCTTTAATTGAATGCAAAATCAAAAGAATCCCCTTTGCTAATCAAACTGTGAAAGAATGCCCCCTGTGTTTCTCTGTTAGCATACCAATGTGTAACTCAAACTAATATTTTCCCATGCAGAATTGTCATATGTGGATTAATACTAAAATTCCCTACAGTTTTAATACTTGTTCTATGATTCTTAAATGGTAAACCAACTTGATTCATTGATTCATTATTTTGGAATCTTTTCTTTCCATTTAATCAGTTTTGGAAACTTATTAAAAAGATAAATATATTCCTTTGAATCATCAAGATCCAGTGTTGAAAAACCCACATAAACATCTAATGAGCAGGTAATACTAGTAGTCAGCTTATAAATCCACAGAAACGCAGTAGGTATTTGTAAGTTTTGCTCTTCTATGTCGCAGTGAATGTTTTGAAGCATTAGACACAGAGACACAGGACACCTAACAGACAGGTACTGCCAGTGGGGGGTGGGGTGGCACCGCCCAAAGAAATGCACACAAATGTAAAAGAAAAAGTGGCTCTCTGGAACAGAGTTATGTTGCATAGTCTGATTCGTCATCTACACTCCAGTGAAGGGTAGAAACTGTGATCTTCCTCATTCAGGCTGCTGGAAATGACTTCAGTAGAACTGCTATCCTGAGTTTAATCAACCTTCCTGGTGGCACTTCTATTCCATGGATTGATACACTACATACATAAAACACACCCACACATGCAAAATGAAGTTGAAAAATGTAATACCCCCATTTCTGTTGAATTTCTTAGTATAAATGAGTTAAAACATCCCTAAATATGTATTTATAGAGAACACACCTAAATATGTATTTTTATTCTGCAAATTAATAATTTTAAAAGAAAAAGAAAAGAAAAAAATGCTAAAAAAAAAATTACAAAATGTGCCATAAAAACTGAAAGTAGAGCAGCAGCGCTGTAGGACAAGGAAGAGAGAGAGAGAGACTTTATTACACATGGTAAATTAATGATAAACATACATACACAACACTGATGGGTAGATCAAAGAAAGAACACCTGTGAGTGTTTTACAGTTTTAAACTGCAAAGCACCCACATAAAAAGAAGTGAATGT